TGCTTCTGCAAAAAAAAAAAAGCGGTAACACTTTCTATGAAGCCCGTATTTATAATATATTATAAGGGTATTTGTGTATATTGAATGAATAATGCATTATAACAAAAAAACTTATAATATGTTGTATCATCTCATAAATAATCATAAGAACAGTTTTAATGTATTATAATACTTATTTGTGGTTATAGCTTTTAAGAGTATGATGATTTATAACACACAGTGAACATGTTGCATCCACTTCAGTTACAATGAATTATATTTCTTATAGTTATAATGTGTTATAAGTCTCATGTCTTGCCAATGTTTAAGATCTGCACAATAATTTAGTACATCTTATTAGTGTTTTTACTGTAAAATGACAACTACAAAGTCTTCATGAATACATCCAAAAGGCTTTATAATGTGGTCTTATTATTTATAAGTGTTCTTTGTCTGCTTTAAGTAAAGGGTAACACTTTAGTATAGGGAACACTTATTCACTATTAACTATGACTTTCCCCTCAATAAATTACTAATTTGCTGCTTATTAATAGATAGTAAGTTCGTTGTTAAGTTTAGGTATTGGGTAAGATTAGGGATGTAGAATAAGGCATTAATATGTGCTTAATTAGTACTAATAAATGGCTAATATTCTAGTAATATGCATGCTAATAAGCAACTAGTTAAGAGACCCCAAAATAAAGTGTTACCAATTAAAGTAACTTCACTTTACTTAAAGCTGACAAAGACCACTAATAAATAATAATAATAATAATTTTTTTTTCTCAAACAGCCATAAAATCAGATATTAGAACAGACGAATGTGTACACATTGTTACGATTATAACCAAACCGCAACAAAATAAGGGAGACACCACACAGCTGCAGCTTGACAATATTAATTTAACTAAAGAAATAAGCGTGAAATGAGTCAGTATAAATGTACATCAGTATGTCAGCAAATGAATGTAAGTACAACCAGTGACAATCCAAACAACGTAAAATACAGAGGGTAGATGGTCAAGACGTGAAACCCGTGTCCACTTTGATCCTCCGTCACCCTCGCATCCCGGCAGCTCATCAGAAGTCTCAAGAGGAACCAACAAACAATAAAGCGGGACATGTCTGTTTGGCTCAGTCCCTTATAAAGTGCCATAATCCAGTTCAGTGGCAAACCACGCACATCAGCAAATCACCTGCAACTCTGAAACAAACACACACAACTAGTCACAGAAATGTGACAACATTTGCTTTGAACTATTTTTATTGTAATATCAGTATTGTTATTTTGATGGTACCCTTTAGACCAGTGGTTCTCAACGCAAAATGGTTTTCAAGAAAAAACAGAGACAAAGCATTATTTGGGTAATCGTATTTTTTGCATCTTATTGCATTTCAAGTAGAATATACACAAATGGAAAAACCCCGCTTGGCTTGGAAAAAAAAAAATGCGTTCCTCTCCCTCTGTCTTTTTTTTTTGGCGATGGGGAGAGGCGGAGCTTAGCCTGCCTTTTATCCAGCTGTCAGTGAAGACACATTTCAGAACGTCAGTGACTAGCAGCGGAATGGATTTTGGGAAGTTTATGGATAAGTTCATCACACGTACGAAAAGGAGTCGTGACGATGCGTCGTCAGCTCCTACCCCTAAGAAGTGTAAAACACAAAAGTACAGCATTAGCTATCTTCAGTTTGGCTTTACGGTGGCTGGGACAGATGCTGAACCGCTGCCCCAGTGTGTCATATGCGCAGATCTGCTGGCAAATGACAGCATGAAGCCATGCAAGCTGAAGCGCCATTTAGAAATGAAAACACCCGACACTGAAAGACAAACCCTTAGATTTTTTTCAAATTAAAGTTTTCTGGCCTTGAACAGCAGAAATGCAACATCAGCAAACACACATCAGTGTCCAACAGATGTCTAGAAGCGTTCTACTACGTCTCCAAACGAGTTGCTAAAGTAGGAAAACCTCACACAAATGCAGAGGCGCTAATCTTACCTGCTGCCAAAGATACTTGTCAGGTCATGTTTGGAGATAATTTCGCTCAGCAGATTAGTGACATCCCCCTTTCTAACGACACCGTTAGCCGCCGCATATCTGACATGGCAAGCGACATTAAAGAGCAATTGCTAGCTAACATCATGCAAAGCCAGTACTATGCCGTACAGCTTGATGAGACAACTGATGTTGCAGGGCTAGCACAGTTGCTTACATATGTCAGATATGTCAAAAATGGTAATATTGAGGAGGACATTCTTTTTTGTCGGTCTCTTCCAGATCACACAACTGGCGAGGCATTGTTTGAAGTTCTGGATGGATATATACAGGATGCAGGCATGTCATGGGATAAATGTGTTGGGATTTGCACGGACGGGGCCTGTTCAATGACTGGGAGGATTAGCGATCTTGTCACTCGTGTCCAGAATTTAGCCCCTTTAGCCAAGTGGTCCCACTGTATGATTCATTGTGAATCTCTCACATCAAAACAAATGCCTGAGTCTCTTGAGGCCATTTTAAAGCAGGCAGTGCAAATTGTAAATTTCATTAAAACACGGCCATTAAATACACGCTTGTTTTCCTTGCTTTGTCAGGAAATGGGAGTCGAACACGAGCAGCTCCTTTTTCACACTGAGGTTCGCTGGCTCTCCAGAGGTCGGGTTTTACATCGCCTCTACGAATTGTGTTCAGAGGTGAAGACATTTCTTGTTAATGTGAAGTCCGACCTTGCGCGGTACCTTGATGACCCCCTGTGGTTAGCGCAGTTGTCGTACCTTGTAGACATTTTCGACAGGTTGAATTCACTGAACACATTGATGCAAGGGAGAGATGCCAACATCTTGCTCCTTTCAGACAAAGTCAGTGCATTCTTTGGCAAACTGGATATTTGGTGTGATCGGCTGATTAATATAAATGTTGACATGTTTCCCAACTTTGCCGACTGTGCAAGAGACAGGGATAAGTATCTCTCCTTTGATTAACACAGTCACTCAACATGTTGAGGGACTAAAACAACAATTGGGCCGTTATTTCACTGAGGATTTTCACTGAGGGTCCCTTCAGTTGCCCAGGAAAAGACCTTCCAGTTGACATGGGAGAGCAGTTAGTCGAATTAAAGAGCGACACTAGATTGCGATACCTCTACAGCTCTTCCTCTCTGCTGTCATTTTGGTTGAGCGTGATGCCTGAATATCCTCAGTTATCTGACACCGCCGTAAAATTACTTCTTCCATTCGCCTCAACTTATCTGTGTGAGGCCGGGTTTTCAAAATTGACGGCTTTGAAAACAAAGTACCGAAATCGGCTCCAGGTGGAAGATGACCTGAGGCATTTGAACTTTGCATTTCAACATTGAATCACGAATTGCGCTTCTTTGTAAAAAGAAGCAAGCACAGGTATCCCACTGATTGATTTAACGATGCCATGGCTAACAAGATGCAGATGCGCCCTGCATCCCAATTTGCATAATATCCGCCCTAAATAGTATTGAATATTATTTAGGGTGGATAGTATGTGAATGCTTGTAGAATGCAACAAGCTAATGAAATGCAACATGTTTTACACGTAAAATAATACTTTATATATATATATATATATACGTTATATAGAGTTTACACATTACAACCTATTGGCTACTTTAAGTTCTCCTGTTCAAAGTAGTTACAATTTTCAGAAACAGTCTTGATCATTTTTGGCCACGTTCCATAACTATCTAGGTATCTGTACTTTTATATAGTTTTATAAAAAAAATTGAAAAATCATAAAAGTTATAAAAAAGTTTTTTTTTAAAGTACAAAAATACAAAAAAGTAAAAAAAATAAAATTAAAAATCTATCTATCTAAATAAAACATAGGTTCCTCTTCAGGAACTCGAGCTGCGTCGAAAACGCTAGGGGAACGCCTTCTGCGACCCACGCTCTGAATCACATGTGAAATCAGTCCAATAGCTGAACGGGACGTCACGGCGGATGACGTCATGACCAGGAAGCTATAAAAGCA